AGTTGACAAACTTGAAGAAAAAAGGCACGAGAAAGTTAAAAAGACTTACGTGCAAAATTCCACTTCTCAGGGAAGGGAACATTATCTTCACCCACTAAACCAACAGTGGGGGCAGCAACAAATCTTGCATACCAGCCACGGTCTTTGTCATCCTTAGGGCTCACCAAAACTCTCTTACTCCTGGCTACTAGTGTGAAAACACCATTGCGGAAAAGCCTAGGGGAATAAAGGTGAATCAAATGAGGGAAAGTAAAGGGAACACCAGCTGTGTTGGACAAGTGCCTCAAACAGGCAACAACCCTCGATACGATTGGGCCAATCTGACCCAAACAAACATCAAAGAAATGACAAAACTCAAGAATAACAGGGTCAATAGCCGGTTTAACCCCTAAGGTGAAAGGGTATGTATAAATAAAAGAATACCCAGTTAGGTAAGAGGTAATTCTTTGGTTTGGACTGGGGATAATAATAGGAAAGTCATTATTCCAATGGCAATCTCCACGAACTACAGGAATCAAAACTTCTGTAATTTGAGTGGGAAAGATATCAGCACGATCTAAACCAGAGACTTGATTCCTAAGAGATTCTCTGTCATGATAAAAAGATAGTTCCGAAGGAACTATCTCCTCTACTATAGGCTCACGAAGAGGTTCAGAAGGTCCTTTACCTCTTGAAGAAGATCTTTGTGAAAGTGAACTCCTAGTTCTAGAAGAAGGACCAAAACTAGGAGAAGGAACAGAAGAGCCGCGTGCAGATGAAGATCCTAAATTACGGAGTCTACCTCCTCTTCTGCTCCTACTGGGAGCGTTAGGGAAGTTATAAACTATGGAGACCTTACTAGGATTAGGGTTGGATGAAGACATGATGATACGAGGAAGAAGCAAACAAAGATTTGAGAAATTGAATGTTCAGAAGACTTTATGTGGTAAAGACAAAGAAAGAAGTTATATTTATACTAAGAAGCAACCGTCAAAGGAAAAGGTGTAATGATGGAAGTGTCATAATGACAACTGACGCTTCGTATACAGTGAAATCATAGAAAAAGCCTTAAAAAGTGTTGTAGAATTGCAGAACCAATAAAAATATGACCCGTGTCAAGAACATTAATTAGAAGTGACAACTGGAGAGTCGATTCTGTCATAGCATTAATGGTGACAAAAATTCCTGCTTTAAAGAAATTCCACTTTCCAAATATTCAATCGATGGATAAATGGCAAGTGGGGGGACTATCTGTATTGGAAAAAATTGAGTTTACATATAAAGATGATGTGTCATGAGACGTGGATCAATCAAAGAATTATGATTAGCAAAGAGGTACGAGTTGCAACAGGCACGAGCAGAGGCATGAAAAGAGGCACGGGCAGCTATGCGGAAGATTCAACGCCTGTACCTATTTAAGTCCAAGAATTAAAGAGAATAAACCTGACAGTACAAAGGAGTACAGATACAGTACTTAATGAGCTTTTAATATTAAAAACGTTAGAGAATCTATAATGATTATGTAACGTAGCATTTAATGCCTTTAAATTGCCCATAATAGCCTTATTATGACAAAGGGAAAACGCATATCTCTCAAATAGCTATAAAAGGGAGATAACTGATCAATTGTAAGGACACGAAACACCATCTGAATATACTTTGGTTTACTTGTTTTTCTTGATTATATTCTTGCCATCCAAATTGCTTTCTTTTATACACTCTTTCGATTATCAGTAACCCGCGTTCTTCTAAATTATAGCTTTAATCGAAATTCCATTTTTTGGTTAAACATTAGTGACTTTGTTGTTACAAACGAAAGAAAAGTGACTTTAGGAGATAATTTGGGATACGTCAGTGACCATTTGAGTAATCGACTCGAGAAAAAACTCGATCGACTAACAGAAACACTCAACACGAGTCTCGAAAATTTTAACAAAGATTTTTCTTAAATTTTGCAAGTATAATACTTACTACTTTATTCAATTAAAATTATTAAATTCTAAATAAAACATTATACACATTCAAATATTCAGAAGATAAAAATCTTAATTATTTATTTAAGTTAAAATTTACTCGTTATTCAAATTCAAATATCTTAATGTTAAAAGCTAATCTCAATTAGGCAATTGTACAATTTTTTTTTTCTTCTGAAAAGAAGGTCAATACTTACAGCTTGTTTGGAGGGTTGTTACCCATTGTATTGTATTGTATTATTTTTTCGGAACAATGTTTGTTTTGATTATTTAGTTAAAATTGGTTGTATTGTATTGTTAAAACCATTGTTCCGGAACAATGAAAAGTCCCATTTTTTGAAACAACCGATTTGGTGTGGTGGGATTGTTTCCTATTTTTCTTTCTAATAATGCCCTAACTTATTACTTTATTATTCTATTTTACCCTTTATCTTTTTTTATTTTAAATAATAGCAACGTCTCTTTCTCATATAATTCTATAATAGAATTCTACGTGAAGTGTAATAACATATATAAATTCTCAAAGACAACATCCCAACTATAACCTATATAATAACCTACATACGTGAAAAACTCGTTTTGTTCTTCTGTCGCTTCTCCATACTCTTTAGGTAAAAGTTTTGTTTTACTTTTGTCTCAATGGAGTCTGCTTAACATTTTTATGATCTAATTATGAATATAGTGTACTTATTATTATTTTTAATATTAGTAAATTGTTCAACTAATTTCGATAGAATTCGCATGAATTTGTTTGCTTAATTTATACATAATTAGTGATAAATTAGTAGAAAGGGGTTTTCTTAAATAATTTTTTATGATTAATTCTTGATAAATTAAATATTTAAAACAATTGAGGGTATTTTAGTAAACTTATCAGTTACAACATAGTGCGATACGGTCAAACCAAACAACAAACAATATAATATATCCAAATATTATATTTATAAAACGATATAATACGATATAATACAATACAGTACAATACGATATATTATAAAACGATAGGAATATTGATCCAAACAGAGTGTTAGACAACCGCTACCTCTTGGCCTCACGTTTGTGCTTCTATTATGCACGACAGCTCAAATATATTGAGGTCCACCCCACAGCTCTCACTTGAAGATTCTCTCCCTATTTTTTAAGTTTAGCACATGCCTGATTCTCACTTAGCACTGCTCTAAACATACTTTTCCGTTAATAATTGCATACGTACACATAGTGTAGCGTGTATCTGCGTGCTTTTGACGCTGGATTAGAGAGAGAAAGTTCTGTAGATCTCTCTCTTTTCTGTCGGCATTTTCAATCGGAAAAAACAAATGGCCGACGAACCTTCTATCACGCGCTGGTCATTTGAGGTACTCGAACTCGCCGAAGAACAACTCTTAATTCTGAAGCTTAATTCGTGCTTGTTTCGTTGATAGTTGTTGAACTTAGAGTGAAGTTCGAGTGTGCTTCGCATTGTTTAATTTCTTGCATGTAGTGATAATTGCGTTTGTTTTACTTTTGAGCTGTTGAATCAGTGAAGAAATGTTGTGAATTTGACTTTTTTTGGTTTTAATTTGATTTTTTTTGGTTACACGCTGTGTCACTTCTGGATTATTCCGGAAATTTTGGAAAGGAAACTAAAACAAAGTTCAGACAAAGTTCCGAATTTTTACTTTTTTGGTTGAATTTTGACTTTTTTCAGTTTTAATTTGATTGTGCCACATCTGATTATTCGAAAATTTTGGAAATGAAACTAAAATAAAGTTCAGAAACTAGGAGTTTTATTTTGGACTATTTAATTGGTGAGAAAATGTTGCTAGGAGGACATTAGAGGGATATGAGTTGTTCTGGTTAAGTTTTGATATGATTTTCGCTTTGTATATTCTAGTCCTGTGTAGAATGAAACGGGAACCATGTTTCAATAATCAATAGGAATAATTGTTAGCTTAGTTGATGTAAAGCGTTCTTAGCAGTGTAAGAAAGAAAAAAGACTTTTGAAATATGGAGTCTTAAACAAGTCATAGTTTTGTGTTACTATAAATCATCTCATTAGGGGTTAGAAGAAAATTTTAAAGTTAAATTGTTTCTAAAATAGAGTTGTGTCATCCTTTTTGAGAGAAAATAAAAAGGAAATAACATCACATAAATTCGACGGAGGGAGTGCTAAAAATCTTGAGAAGACATTTTGTAATGCCTTCATTAGAAGATAGAGAACTTAAAAGTATATGTTCGACATTGTGTACATTCGTACAGGTAGTGATAATTGTTTGTTTGAGCTGTTTATTGCTGAAAAGAATGTGGGACATTGGGATGCATGACTGTTGTTATTCGTTAATTTGAACAGCTTAGGTCTTGGTTTGTTTCTCACTCATTCATAACATTCTGGTCTTCCAAACAATTTGGTAGTATTTTTTCCAATCCACCTAAGCCCTGGTGGGCAGAGTTACCCGGTACACTGTGTTAGTGGGAGGTAGCATGTAGCCGGAGGAATAGTTGATACAAATGTTATCAGTTTTAGGAAAATTGGTGTGAAGTTCAAAAGAGTGAACCTGAATAATTCATTTTTCTTTCTGTAAATGAGTGAACCTCAGTAATTTGTTATACCTAATTGAAAGTGCTGAATGATTTCGTAAGCTTAGATGTTGTCTCTTGATGAAATTGATAAATTTCAATTTTCAATTAGGAAGCATTATATAAGATACTTTGCTTTGTTGTCATATTCAGGACTTCAAGTTGTGTTATGATGCTAAGTTTGGTAGGAAGAAAGATTCTGCTGCAGAGGATGCAGCTGATAATGGTGAAGCTGTATATAATGGAAATTCTTCGACTGTGACATCAAATGGAAATGGACATGTAAAGAAGACCTCAGATTTGTCCATCTATGAGCAGTACAATCAGGTGTTTTTCTAATACTGATCACATAATCCTACACTTGGTGCATTGTTATCTGTCTGACATGCTTAACCGGTTTGTCTTGGTTTAGGCAAATAATGGGAGCTCAGCGCACTCTAATGGAGTTTTATCTGCCGGAGGGGATAGAAAACCGTATGATTCGCAAAATTATGACCTTAATTATTTTGTGTTTGGTTGCTGGTGTTCAATACTGCACTACTATCTTCAATTAGAAACATGTATACTGTGCATGTTACCACTGAAATATTTGCTTTCCAATAACTATTTGACATACTCATTGTTGAAGATAAAACAACTATTAACTTCTGGAGCATCATTCTCTTCCCTGGTTTAACAGATTTTGATACTTGCTTTTCAGGCAGAGATCTCTGCTTCCTCCTTTTGAGTCAGCAGAAATGCGTGCTTTAGGAGAAAGCTTAATTAGGTAAGTGACTGATAATGACCTGAACCTCTTGCTGTTAATTGAACCTCATTTTCCATCTTGCTCACATATTTTCCCAAATTTCTCTTTTTTCTTACCTTATCAGGGATATTATTCGTGGCAGCCCTGATGTTAAGTGGGAGAGCATAAAGGGGTTGGAGAATGCCAAACGTCTACTTAAAGAGGCTGTTGTCATGCCAATAAAATATCCAAAGTAGGTTTTATAAACGAACGCTTATCTATGTGCTACTATCGCCCAAGTGGAATACACACAGATTCTAATTTTGTGGTACAAACCTAAAGAATGAATTTTTGTCTCTGCAGTATACCCAACAATATTTTTCTGGGATTTTTGCTTCTTAACTTTTTTCCCTGAACTACTTCCTTAGGAGATCAAAAAAGAGACTGGAGTCCTCATAACTGAGACAGGTTCTCTGTTTTTTAGGTACTTTACGGGTCTTCTTTCTCCATGGAAAGGTATCCTCCTTTTTGGCCCACCAGGAACAGGAAAGGTTTGTAATCACTTTTTCTTCTGCTTGATATGCTATTGAAATTAAATGTTGTGTCCTGCTTTTGTGATTTTGATTTTCACTCTCTTTTTTTACAATTTCTACTGTTTATTTCCGATCTTTGGTACTATTATTGTGTGATATGTCCACTCTTTGTATGCATCTCATGTTGGTATGTGTATATTAAAAATTTCAGTAACATGATATGGCAGATGGACCGAAATGAAGGATTATTAACTAACTTGTTATCTTATTCCATATTCATGTTGATTTTCTAGACCATGCTAGCAAAGGCTGTTGCTACAGAATGCAACACCACTTTCTTCAACATCTCAGCATCATCAGTCGTCAGCAAATGGCGTGGTAAGAACTAGCTTTGTGATTTACTAATATGCTTTTACCAATTTTCCAAGTTGGACAATCTGATTTGTCTGGCAAAGCTATGCATATAACAATTGAAAATCTATACTGCTTTAACATCGACTGAAAAGAAAAGTGGGGCAAATATTGGAAAAATTCAAGCATTTAGATATTGGGAAAAGTAAATGCAACTCAATAGTGCTTTGAGTTATATGATATTAGAAAAGAAATGAGGAAAAAACTGATATAACCATCCTATTAAAGGAAAAAGGAAAATATTAGACTTCTAGTAGAAAATATTGTATTCAATTTTAAGTGAGGGAACTACCATAATATAAAATTTTAAGCTTGGCAATAAGTTAGCTGTAATTTCTATTTTATTGCTTACTTTCCCCTGAAAGTTGCACAATATTTTGGAATGAGATGGAAACTATGAACATGGTAGGGCTCACGGTTTATTTGTAGAACAAGGTAGGTATACCGGGGTCACAGGAAATAAGGAACTCTGATAAGTTATGTCTTAAATAATGTCAAATGCATGTTCTGATGTAGCTTGTTACCTAGTATAAATGAAGTTATGTTGCAGTAGTTAGTGATATAAGAAAAGCTTTGTGTTCCTACACGGAGGCGTCAACTGCTCTCATCTGTTTTCAACCTTGACGGGAATTGGCATCTCACGGGGTGGTCTCATAATGCAAAACCTGTATATGGTTGGGACCAGGGGTTCCTATCGTTCAGCTTCTGTACAAAACAGTTATGATGTCGGTTTTTACTGGTAAACCTGTTTGTTTATCTGTTGTAATATAAAGAAATACATAATTAGAGGTAGCTTAATCATGTTTATCGAATTTTATATGAGAAAAGACATAAATTGCCCATTAAACTTGTTCAAAAGAATCATTTATACACTTAAACTTTATGGGTAATCTAACACCCCACTATTCTAGTTCGAAGTGAATTTATTTCCTCCCTAAAAGCTAACTTGGCAAAGAATGTGTTATCAAATTCTTACATGCGTGTGAAAAGAAAGAAAAAAGTTAAAAACTGACTTAACTATACACGTGTCATTTGTGCCTGGATGTTGCCAACTAATTAGACTTAGTTATTTATTTTTGATATCTTTTTCATTTTTCATTTCTTATTCTTTACTCTTTTCTTTCTTTTTCTTTCTCATTCTTTTTCTCTTCTCCTTAATTGTCTTCCCATGTTCGTGGTCATCTTCAATGGCAAACCAAATCATTATTGTCCGATCAAGATTTGGCCGGTGTTCGGCCGGAAAATCGTCGTCACCACTAAAATTCTTATTGTCCCTCACCAGAAAACCCACCTGGAACGACCTTCTTCGCCATCAATGAATCAAGGACCATGTTACTAAAAATCGATTGGATTCCAACAAAATCTCTGTTTTTATTCAATTTATCGAACAACGTAATATCATCATTGGGCTTATAGCAAGGATGTCTCTATGCCGTTTGAAATAAACTTAATGAAGCATCGCTATCTTTCATAACTTATATTTCTACTAAATATAAGTCATATTTAGTAGAAATTGGAGCTTATCCAATATGGTCTTCTTCCGAAAACTGTAGTACCTACAAAGAAAGTATCTTTTGCATTGAAATTAATTAACCCAAACCTGTTCTGATTCGCAATGTAAAATCAATGAAAATTTGATAAATATGGACTAAGTTCTTGGACCACCCATCGTTATCCAAGGAAGAGGATTTCGCATGAGAGAGGTCGTAGGTCTATGATGTTTAGTGTAGAAAGGAAGAAAGAGATGATAGAAGGAAGAAGTGAACGAAAGGATAAGTGGATTTTTTTTGTTGGGGGGTGGGGGGGGGGGTGGGGTTCTATTGAAACTGAAAAAAGAAGAAAAATGGAAAACAAATGTAAAAAAGCAACGTGCCAGCGCGTGTAAAACACAGTTTGGACTGAATCTAGTTGTAATAGTTTACGGGGTAGATAATTTCGCTTCAAATTAGAATGGTGGGGTGTTAGATCACCCGTAAAGTTTAGGTGTGTAAATGACTTTTCTATACAAGTTTCATGGGCAGTTTATGCCTTTTCTCAATTTTATATAGTCGGAGTCGAGGGAGATCATCCCGAAGGTATCTCATCTGCTACTAGTTTAATAAGTTAAATGAGTTCAAGAAAAATTAATTTGTTCTATATCCTTTGAAAATCTCCACTATGATACAGGTGATTCAGAGAAATTGATAAAAGTGTTATTCGACCTGGCAAGGCATCATGCACCTTCAACGATATTTCTGGATGAAATTGATGCAATCATTAGCCAACGTGGTGAAGCACGTAGTGAGCATGAATCTAGTAGGCGTTTAAAGACGGAATTGCTCATACAGGTGATACTTGACTTTCGAAAGTGCATTGAGGACATGCAAAAGTCCAATTTACTTGCCCCAGGTGTATCATTGTCCTTGTTAGCAGTGAGCACACTGCCAAAATTTACAACAATCAAAAGCCAATTACTAACCCTAGAAGATGATGGCCACTTTGTCTTTTTCTTCTTCTTTGTGTGATGGGGGTACACGAGGTTATAGCACTCCATGAAATGCTTCAAATACATTCCTCAAGATAGATGAATCTAAGAGATTGCATCTTACATAATCTTATCCTTTTATCATGAGATGTAAGGTACCTGAAGCTAAACCCCGTTTGAATGTCAGCAAATTACAAGAATTCGGTTGGTTTTCCCACCCTATTGAAGTAGTGAGCTTAGTTTTGGACTCTGACAATACTTTGCTCCTGTATGATCTCCATGTTCCATTATTAGGGTCACTCAATCATGTGGTGCTATTATGGTACATTGTTATTTTAAGATTACTCAAGGAAATAGAGTAATTTAGGAACTAAAAGGAGAGGGCTACCTGTAAAGAGGATGTGAGAATGTGTGATATCAGCAAAATCGGACTAAACATTTGTTCCCATCATCAGTAATAACCAATAGTCATGCAAAGACTAGGACAAAAAGTTCTGAAGCAAATAAACCATGCTTAATTTATCTCCCGGCCCCCCACCCAAAAAGGAGGAAAGGAAAGAAATTCAAACCATACCTCCTCCTAAAAAAAAAAAACAAAGAGAAGAGAGACAATCAAACCATACCTATATGTAAGCTTAGAATGTCTTCAGATAGTGATTTGTCTTCTATGTTACTACGGGCCCTAACAAAAAAATTGTTTGCTTATAGCCATACTTTTCTCGAAATTATTAATTTGAATTTGGTTGCAGATGGATGGTTTAATGCGGACAAATGAACTTGTTTTTGTTCTGGCAGCAACAAATCTTCCCTGGGAACTAGATGCAGCTATGCTCCGGCGTCTTGAGAAGCGGGTACTCTTTCAAATCACCTGAAACATATTATGCTTGATAATGAGACCATCGGTCAAATGAAAAAGAATAAGAGCAATAAGACAAATTTTAACTGAATTTTAGCTTTAGCAAGTCTTCTGTTTCAAGACCACCTAGTACATTGGGGTCAAACATGTGAAATTTGAGGCTAATGTAAATTTTTTTACCTAGTAAGTTGGTATTGAACATGCCAAATTTGGAGGCAATGGAAGCTTTTATAGTGGTAAGAGCTTTGAGTCTTTAACTAGAGGATGGTGGTTTGAGTCCCATCTAATTTGTTTGTTAATCTTTTAAATGTTATCTGGTATTTGGTCCAGTCGAATGTTGGTTCAGTTGCTGGTCTCATTGTGAATCAATATTTTTATTTTTAATCGGGTAATAACCTCCTTCCTTATATTTGTACATTTTATTAAGGGGTTGGTCAGTGATGGGAAGGTATTCTTTTAGTTATCTCTCTCTGAACACATGTTAGATATCTCCTTAAAGTAAGGAAAAGAATGAAACATGTGAAAAACAAATTCATGTGATTTTATTTATTCTTATCCACCACAATGTCAAATCCTATCTGACAAGTAACCTCAGCTTGCCAAAACTATCAGTTACTTACCTTCTGACTGTAATTTTAGATTCTTGTGCCTCTACCAGAGCCAGAAGCAAGGAGGGCTATGTTTGAGGAATTACTATCATCGGCGCGTGAAGAGGAGACTCTACCCTATGACTTATTGGTAGAAAAGACACAAAGTTTTTCAGGTTCTGATATCCGGTTATTGTGCAAGGAGGCTGCAATGCAACCATTGAGACGCCTAATAGCACAACTGGAAGATAAACAAGAAGTGCTGCCCGAGGATGGTATGCCATGTTTACATACATCGTGCCTGCATTGATCTTTTAATATTTGCCACCTACTCCCTCCATCCCAATTTATGTTGCAGTATTTGACTCGGCACGGAGTTTAAGAAAGAAAGGAAGACTTTTAAAACTCGTGGTCTAAAATAAGCCATAGATATTTGTGTGACTATAAATCATCTCATTAAGGGTAAAGTAGTAAGTTTAAAGTTAAGTTATTTCTAAGTAAGGAAAGTATCACATTCTATTTGGGACAGACTAAAAAGGTAAGGACGACACATAAATTAGGACAGAGGTAGTACATACTATGGATTTGGTGATTCTTTATTGACATATCAACCCGACTTTGATTCATGCTTCCAACAAATTCTCAAATAAGACTATTAGATTTCCTTTAGCTCATGGCCTGATAGAGAAATATGTGGTCTGGTCGAAACGTAAATCTCATACCTTCATGAAACTCTTTCTAGAGTCAATGTTACAAAGAGTAGTGCATCTCTCCTTGTTTCAGTTGTCTTCTACATTCTATCATCTTTGATGGTCAGAACTCAGAACTCTTCATGTATCTGCCTTCTTTTATGAGTTCTGACTTTTGATTGTGGTCATGTGGTGCTCCATGTCCAGAGGATAAAAACTCATCTCTATATTATTTATGTTAAATATTGCGCAAATGTTTTTTATGAAACTATTTCTGGATACTTGAGCATTTCCTATGCACACAGCACAGCACAGATGCAAATACATGTGATAATAGTCTTCTAGAAGTCAACATCAAATTAGAGATCATAAAGGTTAACTTTTTACTGCAACCATCATGTCTAAATATCACTATACTGTAAGTCATGCATTACTCTTAAAAAGATTTTCTATTGAGCCACGTCCTTGAAAGGTTTCAGGAAGACACATTAGTAGTCTGTGAAAAAAACTTCATTTTGGGATTACAACATGCGAAATCTGTAACATCACTTTACTACAATTTGTGGAGGTTTAAATGGTTTGCTGAGATCCTATTCATGATTATTTAGCTTGAGCTTCAGGCATTATACTGAAATCTGCATTCTTCTGCAGAATTGCCGAAGGTTGGACAGATTACAGAGAGAGATATCCAGATGGCCTTGAAAAACACAAGACCATCCGCTCATCTCCATGCACATAGGTATGACAAGTTCAATTCTGATTATGGCAGCCAAGTACTCCAGTGAAAGCACACTATCATTGATTATCGTTGGCCGTTTTTAGTCATAATCTTTCTTATTTCGTTTTACCAACTCATGTCATGTGCAACTCATGGTGTTGTTCCTTTTACTTGTTATTAGTGAATTTGTCGTTTTTGTATAATTTATGAAACTTGTGCTGCTTTGGTCATTTAGACTGCGTTCCTTTTACTCCTGATGCGTGGTTTCACGTTTCTTTTTAAGCACACTATAATGTTTGTTCCTAGAGGAGAATTTAGAGTCTCAGCTTTCCTTATTGATTAAAAAGGAGCACCTCATCTTTGTGAAAAGGCAAGGCGGTCCCTGCTATTACCACGAATATACTCCCTCTATTCACTTTTACTTGTTCACTATGGATTTTGCACACCCCTTAAGAATAATAAATAAAGTGCATAATTTACCATGATACCCATATTAATTGATGCATTTTTTAATGAATTTGAGAAAATGATTTGAAAAGAGTAATTGATATTATGGGTATAACAAGAAAAAAGAAATTGTCAGTCTTGATATACTAAAAGTGACAAGTAAAAGTAAAAATCTATTTTTAGAATGGTAGACAAGTAAAAGTGAACAGAGGGAGTATATTGCAATAAGCATTTCCGAGTAAATTGTCCAGGAGTATTCTTTTATTTTTGTTAATTATGTTTATGTAAAAATAAATAATAAATAAATGTATCTGTTGCACACGAGAAATGTAAATAAATCTAACCTAGAGCCGTTGTCATTTTTACTGGCGAAAATTATGTTGACTAGATGAAAAGTGAACGGTGTATGGAGCTTTGTCCAAATTGACTAGTATCTTTATTGGTAGGACGAAGGCCGTTAAAATTGGCGATTTATCTACTTCCCTGAAGGGCTAAAATGTTTTGAAGTATCTACTGTTAATGAATTTGAAAGGGCAAGATCGTTTTTGGTTTGGTGTTTATTAATAGTAAGACTTAAACAAGAAAAAAGAAGAAAATTTCTGGCAGGAGTTGTTCTACTGCTAGTATTCTGCCAGCCACCATTGTTTTTCCTCTTCAATTACCGCGAAAGCAGCAAGTATTTCTTTGCACATTGGAAGGCTTGAACTCTTCTTTTTTCTTTTTATCAATTATATGATTGTTTTTTTATTTCTTTAGTAAATATTGATTGTATCTATTAATTAAAATATTTTTAATAGCTAAATTTCTAATTTTTATTTTATCTTTTCATACTGTTGGTTCCATGCTCTACCACATGCTTACAATATAATTACCAGTACATCATCGGATGGTTAAAAAATGGTTGAAAAAAGAAACTCAAAACCAAAAAATGCAGTAAACTAGGTAAATTAAATAGTGTATCAGTTTTGTTTATTTGAATTTATCTAAATACTAAATATTATTCGTCCTGCCGCAAAAGGATAGTGGACATATGTTTGGAGGAGACATCTACCAAAAAATACAATAGAAGTTTTATTACCTAAAGAAATCGAAGATAATAATATTTAATTAAATAAAATAGTTGATAATACTATATTAAAGATTAAAAAAAATGGTGCCGTATGGAAGGGACACATACCCGACACAGGCAGTAGAATTGGTAACTCATTTCTATTGAAAATAATAATAATATTCAACAAAATTAAACAATCGATGAAATTGTAATGAAGAGAAAAAACAATGATGCCCATTTCAGTTTGGCCAGTTTCTTGGATGCCCAAATAATTGTTTTTTCTTCTAAAAAAGTACTTTTTTGGAAATTTAAGGTTGGTCAAGATGAAAAAATATTTTTGAGCAGTAGCAGAAACAATTTTTTTGCTTTTGGGAAGAAGCTAAAAATTCTAGCTTCCTCCCATAAGCAAAAGCAGAAAATTAGTTTTTTAAGACAAAAATTCCTTATCATTAAGTTATACTTTCTGAATTATCCCTTAGCCGTATTCTTCTTCTTCTCCTACTCTTTTTTGGAATAGTATCTCTACTATAACTAGATCTTTTTCTCAATGCAACTTCTTCTTGTCAATTGTCATCCACTCTTATTCCTCTCTTTTTTTGTGTATTGATAAAATTCAGCCTTACCACATACCACAGTAAAATAGTGACACTTCATGGAAGTGAGTCCAAAACCATGAGCATGAAGGTCAAAATATTCAAGCATAGAGGCTGTGATCGGAACCGCCTCTTCAACTCGAAACAAGAGCAGCCGGAGGAGCGCGTGTTCGAAGCATGTCAAATGCTTTCGGTATCAAATTCAACTCTACTTGAATCCTTTATGAGATCGTGGTCACCATCTGTTATGCAACCATAGTGATCGTTGGAGAGGATCTCGCCGCCCCACTAACCGCAAACCTTGGCGTACAGGCTGGGAACTCGAAACAACCTCATCCCCTCTAAGCTATAAATACCATCTTCTATTCATTTGTAATGGACATCTAATAATATATAACACTTTATGATCATTCATTGAGTCCTTATTCTGTTCGTTAGCAAGATTATCTTTCTCTGTTATTCCATTTCGACACAGCCGTTTCAGAGACCAACGATCAATAAAACTTCTTTTATCTTAACTTTCATTCTACTTAGTGTTATTATCCTTAGATTTACTATATGCACTTCGGATTAACCTGTTTGCAAGTGGCTTTAAAATACAAAATCAATTATTTATTCTAAAACTAATTTTTCGGTTAAACAGTTTGGCGGCTGATGTGAGGCCCTGGCAATTGAGTGTTTGATCTAAAGTCACACAGATGTTTTTTAAGTTTTCTGTTATTCTCACGTGTAGATTATTTATTCCAGGGAATACCCTGTTTGGGATCAACAACCAACCAATGTTTGAGAACAAACTTTGGGACCATGGGCTCCAAACGATCAATCAACCAGGACCTCGTTATTTCGTTCGAGGAAAATCTCCCCTGCAAGATCTACTAGTAAGGGGTAATGAATGACAAGGGTTGGAGAAGACGGTGAAAGAATTATGACGTAGAAGCAGCAGCTAAATGCCCAAATCGGATAGGTATTGAGGGCCCTGGCAAGTGGTGCAACAATGGCAATGCCAATCCCATCTCTGAGGGTGCATGTCGACATGTAGACTCACAACTTTAAATTGATAAATACGGAGCAGGGGGCTCCCAGATGATACTAAGTCCAGGGTTCGGGCACGTTCGAAAATGCTGAGTAATAGAATTTAATTCTTACCTTAGAACAATAGGTCAAGGAATAGAGCGAGACGATCTAACAGATCCACGGAGTTTGACTTTTTATCAATGGAATCGATATTAATAAATACTCTCAGCAGTCGTGAAAGCCGAGTGCAGCCCTGCTCTCAATTTTGAAGAAGTTTAAAATGTCAGACATCCTAAAATATGACGGAACCTGGGACCTGCGTGATCATGTCATGGCTTATACAACTGGAATCAAAGGGAACGAAGGAAGAAATCGAGTATGTACTCGTCAAGTAGTTCACAGAAACCCTGACCAAAGGAGCTCTAACTTGATACTCTCACTTACCAGAAAACTCAATTAATTTTTGGCTGAACTTGTAGATACTTTTATCAAAGTATATTGCGAAACACAAAAAGGTGGAGAGACAAATGAAGGACATTTTAAAAATCCAACAAGGAGACATATAGTATCTTCGGGACTTCAATGCAGGGGCGGCTCAAGAAGATTGGTGGCCTAAAGCCAATTTTTAATCTGGGGCCTTTTAGAAGAAAAACAATTCATGTATATTTTTAATAGAAGTCTATTTTTCTAGCTTTTTAAAATGTAAAGTTGTTAATAGTTTCTTTTATAAATAATTTAATCTCTTCTAAGATATTGTTGATCTTAGATATAGAATCAGATTCAATAAGTTGATAATTTGATATCGAAATAGTTTTTGATATTCTAATATACTTGTTGAAACGCTTGAAACTTGAGGGGAAAAAAGGAAAAAAAGAATGCGCAATATAGTTTTATTGAACAGTACTCTCCACCTCTTGTTTTTTATAGGAAAAAACCAAACTCTTTTCTTTCTAAAGAGAACAATATAACTTATCGAAAACTTAAGCTTTTTTGAAGAAACCAAGAAAGAGAATATAAGAATGTAGTACCCATTTTCTGATGAGAAAGATAAAAAATAATACTTGGACTATTGAAGATACCAAAAAACGGATTCTAAAAGTTTATTACACGTTTTAGTGAGAAATGTAAAAGCAGAATAATAATATAGGCACCTCACTAATGATGTCAATCATAAAATTTAAATAATGAAAAGTTTTATATTCGCGACAAGGGTTTAGGGGGAGTGATTCTCTTTCTCCATTTGCTCAAACGGTTACATCAATACTAACTTAAAAGTTATCTTTACCTTTAATAAAATATTTTACTTTTTTTATTTTAAAATACCCAATATATTTAGACCCTACATGTAAAGATTGTTGTGAGATGTATATAAGATCCAACTTACTTTAATAAGATATTTTCGGTTCGAGTCCTGTGGTTGAAAAATCCTGTTAAAATGTGTTCGCTCTTTTACTAGGCCTTACACGGTATAAATCTAGATTAGTCGGGATCTCAATACAAATATGAGTAGAAAACAAAAAGAAAAATTTGGGGCCCCTAAAATTTGGAAGCCTTAAGCCTTTGCTTTAGTGGCTTGACCCTTGGGCCGCCCCTGCTTCAATGGTCGATTCTAGAGAAAAAGGATACTACTCCCCACCGTGCTAGACAACTAGGCAGCCACAACCTTCCCAAGAAACCTGAATGACAATAGTTAGGAAGCTACGACAACCTTCGTGAGTTTCCAGTCAAAATATGGAATGATGTGTATCATAGATACATCACAAAGCTCTGAATAGAAAAATATATCTCAATACTCCTGAAATTTGAAAATAAGGAGACGAAGGGATACGGCCATCAATCGAATAATCGGCAGGCGAGAAGATCCCAGACATCTAGACTCCAAACTCTGGTACAAGCCCTATTTGGGCCCCTGCGTCGAGAAAATACCGTAGGGCACATGCCAAGTCATGTCGACAAAGGCCCTGGACGAGGAAATAATATTGCACCACACCAAGCGGGGAAAGAACCGGAAGAACCAAAGATCAGTGACTATCACCACATGCCAAAGCTAGGAGACTACAACTTCAATGTCAATACCTCAGAGTTGGTGGCTGTACTCAAAGATATAGAAAACAAAATGAGATAGCAAAAAGAAATAAGGACGGATCCAAGCAAACATAGTCAGAAAATCTGGTGCAAATTAATA